GGCTGAGTCCAGGCTGAGAAGTTCCCTGTGGGACCTGCTGTTGCTGCTGGGACAGTCCCCGGAAATTCAGGATGGGGGAGGCCAGTAAGGGGATGGCAGCAGGCGAAGGGTGGGGCTGGGGGGAAGCCAGCAAAGGAGGCCAGATCTGCTTGGCAGTCCGGCCCACCCAGCGCAGCACTGAGGGGAGAGTGTCAAGGAGGCACCCTCATTATCACCTTGTGAGGTGGGGGGTCCTGGGCTAAGGCTGTAGTCAATGGGGAGATGCAGCTTTGGAGCTGGAGTCCAGAGGCAGGAGAGCTGAGAAGTGCTGAATCTGACCTTGTCTGTGGGGAGGGCAAATGCCGCTCTCTGATTTCCCCCCGTACTCTGGTGGCCTCTGCCCAGATGCCATGGGAATGGGGCAACTGTGGCACCTCGCCAGGGTCCTAGGCTTGGGGTGCTTTGAAAACCCAAAGTTGTGAACTAGTGCCCCCTCCCCCCCCCGCCTCGATCTGGCCAGAACCTGCGCTGCTCTCATCTCCGGCTCCTCATTCACCACTGTGGGCCCGGCTGCATGAATAGGACCCAGCTGGACCTGCACAAGCCCTGGACTGCTGTGTTCCCGTCTGCCCTGTTGGCTAAGGGGAGCGGGATGGAGATCCTGCTGGGGAGCCCTACCTGGCTGGAGGTAGAGGGGCCCCAGCTCGAGCTTCTCCTCAACCCTGACCTCCCCCATTGGGCCACACCCAGAGCCGTATCCTCACTGGTGTCCTTTCACTCCACAGAGGGGGGCTGGGGTCGGAAATGGAACAAGCAGCACCCAGGGCATAGCTGGACACTGGGCAGGGGGAGCGGCTAGGTCTCGAGGTGAGCACTGGATGCAGAGTCCTTGTCTCCCCTCAAGGCTAGGAGAGCAGACCCTTCACTACCAAGGGCACTGGGAGTTGTGCTTTGCCTGACCCTGCCAAGCTCTTCACTGCTGGGGAAGGCACACCCTGGGAAATGTTCATCAGAACACAGTTTGGAGAGTTGCTGAGAGATGGGGGGGGAGACGGGGGGGGGAAGAGAGAGCACAGGAGGGGAGAGAGAGAGAGCGCAGGAGGGGGAGAGAGAGAGAGAACCCAGTGCCTAGGGCATAGACTGGCATCCCCATCTCCCTAATAGGTGTTAGTGAAAGGGTGGACACTGGGAGGTGGGGTGGGTTGGGGCCTGAGGAACTGGCACTGCAGAAGCCCCAAGCTCTTGAGGGTCGACAGCTCCCTCGATGCCCAGAAAGGGCTAGGGAGAGGGGCAAACCTCCCTGTCTACACCCCCTGGGGACCCCGTGTCCGTGGCTTGAAGCGCACGTTTCCTAGAGCCCTCGGCTTCTGCCCCAGCCTCTCTCACCCTACTCTCGCCCCTCGGCCCGCCCCCAGCAGTCACTTACTTGCAGGAGAGCTGGTTGATGCCCTCGATGTAGTAGCAGACCCCTCCATTGACACAATAGGACTTGGCCGTCTCGTTGCACTTCCGGGCGTGCCCCGACCAGGATGACAGAGTGGTACTCACTGGAGGTATGAGAGACACGTGCCAGTGACCCACTGAGACCACCTCTGGGCCCCAGGAACCACCTCTTTGCTGGCCCTTCGTGGCCCATCTCAGAGCTGGAAGATCAGGAACCGCAGGAATAACTTGAGAGGGAAGGTCTGGCGGTTCCTCCCAGTCACCACCAGCAAGGCAAAGGGGAGGCCACCAGGAGCTCTGGCCGTTTGCCCAGTGCCACCCTGCACCTGTACTCCGGGCCGAAGTACCCAAACCTCCAAAGGCCCCGACGATTTCCTCTGTTTGGGAGGAGATGAGAAGCTAGCGGGAAATACTCCTTCTACTGGAATAAGAGCCCACTTCATTCCTGCCTTTCTGGGGGCTCCACCATAGGTAGATGAGACATGCGGTCTTTCGTGGGGTGCAGGGAGGAGACCTCTACATCCATCTGCACTGCTTGGGATCTCAAGGTGGCCAGGAGGTGGCTGGAAGGGAGCTGGGCTTGGAGGGGAATGGCCCCTTCTGGAGACTCGTTCTCTAAGATCTCAAGAGACGTGAGGAGAACCTTAGCTCCCACGTCTTCCTCCCTTGTCAGAGGGGACAAGCCTCTCAGGACTGCTACAAAGGCCACTATGCCCCTCTCCATAAGCAACCAGGGTTTTCTTTGCCTCTGCCCCCATCAGGCAGCCCCATCCTCCCCCACTCAGGCAGCTGCTGTGTCTGAAGGGAGCCTCCAGGCCGCGACGGCCCAGGCTATAAACCCTGGAGGTCAGGTTGCTGGAGAGGAGGTGGGCTGGGGAGAGGCCTGCAGGGTGGCCGGGACGTGGACACTGGGTGAGCGTGAGACGGGGCTTTTAGGCTGCCAACCCAGACCGCCCATCTGATGGCTCAGATTCATTTGCTAAATGAAAATAACTTGAGTTATTTTCCAGAAGCCTGGTTTCAAGGGAAAAGTCTTGCCCCCAGTGCTGGTTTTCCTCTGTTAGCTAATGCCCGAGGCCACGTATCCAGACTGGGTTGCACCTCAGCCTCTGGGGCTCCTAGCATCTCTTGCTCCTACTCAGCAGCGGCCTCCTGCCTGAGGTGGCCCACCCTACCTCGGCTGCTCCTGTCTCCTTAGGGGTACCGAGTCCCTCCCCGCCCCCTCCCCGTGGTGATGGGGTTGAGAGGAGGAGGAGGAGGAGGGCAGGCACTTGGCGCCCTCAGTGTTTAGACATGTGGGAGACAGATGGAGCGCGGGGACTGGGAGTATATACACAGCTCTGCCTCTGTATATGTCTGAGGAGCTCGCTGATAAAACCCGGCGGGCAGGGCCAGCTCCCACCTTCCCCTCCACACCGTGCCTGTGGCCGCTCTGGCCCCCCCGAGCCCCACCCCTGCGGAGGTCTCCTCCCACACACACCACCACACTCAGCTGGGACAGGAGGCCTCTGCTGGTCGCTGCCCACTCTGGGTCAGGGACACCCAGGGAACCAAGAAAGGGACAGAGAAGAGAAATAGCTGAGGTGACCCTGCCTGCGAGTTGCAAAATCCGTTGCTCTGGAGGACACCAGAGGTTGCCCTGCCCTTCGGTTACGTTGCCAAGGAGGAGTGAAGGAAAGGGGCAGGGGAATGCCTGGCTAGAGTCAGTGTGTGTTGTGACAAGGCCGCAGGGCTCCTGACACCTGGTTGAGCATTCTCACCAGCCAGCTAGACCCCCGTGGAAGAACATGTCAGCGCCAAGGCTTGACATGAGCAGGCGAATGCAGATACGATGTGGACCACAGGCTTGGGTCCTCTCGTGGGTGTTGGCTAAGGCAGAGAAGTCTCGGCTTGTGGACCACAGGCTTGATTACCTCTGTGGCCGTGGGTGGCAGAGACTGCCCATAGCTACGCTGAGTGAGCAGTAGACAGCAGGGAGGATGGTGGCCGGGGCCACAGCCGTATACTTGGGCCTGTCCACATGTATGTCTGTGCTCATGGAGGCCTTGGGAGGCAGACGATGGCTCCTGAAGGAAGATGGGGCCTCAGCTGGGATGCATGGCCTGCGCTGGACTCCCCCCAAGGCAGCATGGTCTATGCTCCCTTGTCAGCATATCCGTCTTTCTTCACTGTGTCCGCCCACGTTTGGGGAAGTAAAGGTGACATCTATACTCCAAGTTGGAGAGTCTGGCTGCTCCCTTGACCCCCCAACTGGGATGGCCCCTAGTCTCCCCAAATGGGGCTTCTGATCATCTGCCAGGCCACTTGCTTCCCCAGGCTTACTCATCCCACTGACTGAGCAGCATAGACCAAAGACCAAAGATGCTGGGACCAAAGCATCTTTCATTTCTTCTCCCCCTTTGTTTTCCCCATCCATCCATCTCCGAGGCTGTCTGTCTACCTGTTCACAAGGCTCCGGCCACATGTCTCCACCACTTCCCAGCCCAGGCCTCCACGGTCTCTTTCTTGGATGACCGCAACAGCCTCCTCACTGGTCTTTCTGCCCTCACTCTTGCCTTCATTTCTCACCTTTTTGCCTTCCTGCTGTTAAAGTGGTCTTTAAAATAGGTAAAAGTGATCAATCACTTCCATTCTCAAAATCCTCCAATGGCTTCCACTTTCCCTCAGCATAAAGGCCCCCAACTCCTCTCCCACGTCATGTCCTGTCCCTCTCTTGAAGTATCTTCTGGGGTGAAGATAAAAAATATCTTCAGACTGTACTGGCTTAGTCCAGCTCCTCTAACAAGCTAGGGGTCTTCCTGTCCAGGACTTCCAAAATACCAGTGTGTCAGAGAGGCTGCCCGGGCTCCTCCCTTTCTCTATCTCTTAGCTGCATACACTTGTACTTAAAGTCCTTATTCTAACATGATTAAATGCCAAGCTCCTCCACCAGCATGTAAGCTCCATCTAGGCGGGGTCCATGTCTGTCTCGTTCACCAATGAACTCCAGTGTTTAGAGTAGCGTGTGACCCGTAACAGGTGCCTAACAAGGATTTACAGATATCTGTCAGGAGCAAATGAACATCTGATTTTTCGGAGTAAGGTGCCTTCTACCATCCAGGAGCTTGTCTGGTCAACTTGGCCTGATGATAACTTTTCCACAGACTAAAGCATTGTCTCCTATTACACGCAGATCTTCCCAGAAGGTCATCGGGGAAATGCAAATCAAAACCACAGTGAGATGCCGCTTCACACCCCCCTTGGATGGCTATAATAAAAAAGATGGACCAGAACCAGGGGGGTGGTGAAGATGTGGAGAATTTGGAATCCCTATACCTTGCTGGGGGACATATAAAATGGTGCAGCCACTTTGGAATACAGTCTGGTAGCTCCTCAAAAAATTAAACTGAGTTACCATATGGCCAGGGAATTCCACTTCTAGGTATATACCCAAGAGAACTGGACCCCTGTGTGCGCACCAAAACTTGTTCTGCATGTTACAGCAGCATTATTCATGAGAGCCCAGATGGGGAAAAACTTGGATGACCCAACAACCCAAATCACTGACTGGGATAAACAAAATGTGGACTAGCCATGTAATGGAGTATCATGCAGCCACGAAAAGGAAAGAAGTACTGGTATGTGCTACAGTATGGATGAACCTCAAAACCATTATGGTAAGTGGAAGAAAGCAGTCCTCAAAGGCCACATACTGTATGACTCTAATTATATGAAAAGTCCAGAATAGGTAAATCCATAGGAGCAGAAAATAGATTTGTGGTTGCCAGAAGCAGAGGGGTGGGGGCATGGGGAGTGAATGCTAACGGGCATGGGGTTTCTTTTTGAGGTGATGAAAGTGTTTTGGAATTAGTGGTGATGGTTGTTCAACCTTGTGAATATACTAAGAGTCACTGAATTATATACTTTAAAAAGGGTGAATTTTGGGGCACCTGGGTGGCTCAGTCAGTTAAGCGGCTGCCTTCGG